GCGTTGCCAACCCTTCAGAACACCGAATTTGGTTGGATCGTGTCTGGAGGGCTGCCGAGTGCGTCAACTCCTCAGTCTGTCTCAGCTGCCGTCGTCAAGGATCCTACGAATCATTTTGATGGTGGCACACTTGCTGCCGTAGGAAAGCCAGCTGCCTTCTTGAAAAGTTGTTGGCCAATTGGAGGCCACAAAATCGCCAAGCTAGCCGTTCTGCCCCACGATGCGGATGAAGTTGAAACAGTACCTCTTCCAACGGGGGGAGTATGTTCGGAGCAGACCGCTAGCGCCTAATCATGCGCGCATGGGTGTATGGCTGCACCTGCTGCGCTCTTAGCTCTTCTCTTTGTTGATCTATTTCTCTCTCTCTTCTTCTTCTGTCGCCTTATCTATGCTAAGCTACATTTTAAGATTATATGTTGAAGTCAATAATTCGATCGGTAGTTGCAGCTCCGACCAGAGAGAAAACGAAAATATACACAGCATTTAATTAACCTATTCGTGCGTTGTAATTATTGCTTAAGGGTGGCAAATTCGTTGTCTTCCCCATAAACAGTTACATATGATTTTAATTGGTCGGATAATATGGCTATTGCTGTGGATATTTTTTAGAATACCAAGAACCAATTTTTCACTGAAAGTGCTCCATTATACTATCCGCCAATCTCAAATAAGCTTCCGTGGTTTACTAAAGAGTTGAGCCGACTTAAGAATAAAAATATAACCTGTATACTAAATAAAAACTGAGTGATCCCCAAACTGCAATTTCCACTTTTTTATCAGCTCGGCCAAACTTTACGGTGTTTGTTAACAAAAAAAAAAACTATTTGACTCATTGTAAGGCTCAGTTCTCACAGGACCAAAAACAGTTTTATAATTTTGTAACAATAAGCTTAAGCATAAAATAAATACTTCTTCGCTTTCATTTGGAAATACTTCCGCAAATAGAGATCAGGCAAGCAACTTACTCAAATTCCACTGATTCGAAACAGGATTTTTTCTACATCATTCCCAATACGACCCAATACAGTCTTAGTTTGAATGAAAGCTCTTTTCTTCTTCTTTTAAATCTTCAGTTTAGTCGCCTGGTCTCGACGATATTCCCGGTGTGCCCAGTTATTGTGCCGAAATGATGTAACTGATGTAGCTGCTTTAACACATGTTCAGCCGCCACAAGGATTTTCAACCGTTGACTAGGCTCACACGCTTGGTGGGAAACTTCAACATGCTTGCTATACCGCTGCTTGATATACGCCAAGCAGACAGGATACTGAGAACGCGTCGAATTTTAAGATTCTCGAAAAAGGGCGAACCCGAGCTATGCGCCGCCCGCCGTGCCACGGATTCAACGCCCGCTGGATACGAGCAACGACTCCCCCAGTCAGAATATAACTAAGAATCCGAGCCAAGAACCTCGAGCCACGGAAGAAATAATCGAGCACTCACCCTTAGATAAACAGGCTGAACTCTTTCGAGAACCTCACGGGCAGGATCGCTGGGTGATCACTGAGTTCAGTTCCGTCGATCATCTTTCGACGCGGTACCTAGAACATGGTCGCCAACGCCCTGTCGCGCAAGCTACGATTTAGCAAGCACAGGTTGAAGAGCGCAAATGGATTGCCAAGTATTCGACTGAAAAGTTTCCAGAAAAAGCCAACTCTATTGATGCCCGGAAGAAAAAGGATACACGGCCTAGAAACTGTGAGTGAATTCCTGCGGGAGAGTGTTGATTGAGTGCCACGATCACCCTACCGCCGGGCACTTGAAAGACGAACTCGAGGGTAGCCGAGTACTACTAATCGGGTTCGTTCCGGGGAGAAGGCAAGTTCGTGAGACGATGTCCTAGTTGCAAGATGTTTAAGGTGAGCCAAGAGAAGTCGTCGGGAAAGATGTTTACGCGAAATGTCAACAAGAGCTTCAACGTATTATAGGACGACTTCTGGGATCTCTCCCGGGCTCCAAACAAAGGAACATGGTAGAACAAGGCAAGTGTTCCTGAACTCATTCAGCAAGTGGGTGGAACTCGTCCCTCTGCGCTGGATCGCAAATCTGAAACTTGCAAAGAGTGCAAACTGTGAAGACTATGATAGCATAACAGGAACTAGCGAGTCCCCGTAATCTCGCTGGACGTCAACAGCAGCGTGTCATATACCACAGAATTTAGCTTCGCTTCTCCCATACAGGGCCGGGTCGTCTGCTGAACGCCATATACGCCGAAGTTACGCTGGGAAGAAGAACGGCCAAGATTCCGAGAAATGCGAGCAGCTCCAAAGCATATTCAAAATCTCCTACATATTTAAAGTCGCTCACAACCGAGCAAGGCAGGCATTATAACCTGCGTCGATGACAGTGGAGGCCACCGCTTGGCTCTCTGTTTCTCTGTTTCGGGTCGCCAAGTTCCAATCACCTCAAGATGTTGCCGCCAACGTACCAAAATTATTAACAACCTGGAACCATACCACCAAAAAGACGACGACAATAACAAGGACTGTTACCGAGAGCATATCCTTGGAAACCAGGGTGTCATTGGCGCCACTTGCGCTCGTCCAACGCCCGACCCACTGTCGAGGGAGAAATAAAGCCGTCTGGTCCACCTCGTGCCGGACACAGACGATATTAACAACCCCCACGCCTTGATTAACCTTCGAAAAGGCGAACCGAAGAATGCAGAAGACTAGGCTAAGAGCTCTCAAATACAGGCATTCCAAAGAATTCCTCACATTTAGCCATTTTCACAGCCCACTGTTCAGCGTCAGCGGCAGAGCGGCCCACGCTACGTCTATTTGGAAATAGGGTTAGGGTTAAAAGATCGCCCAGTCAGGATCGATTATTAGTTATCGTGATTATTGATAACTCTATAACAAAGGCCCTCGTCATACGAAAGGATGCCTCGAGCAAACACAGGCCAATAACATAGTCACCTTCATAGGCACCGATCAAAACACGCTCGGAGACAGCCGGCAGCACGAGCGCTATCCGTCTCTCCCTTTCCGGCTAAAAACGGGCCGCTCGCCGGATCAATTCTCCGGCGTCTCGAAGCTCGACTGCAGTCCTGTTCAGACACCCTCTTTGATCAACTTTCGTGGAGCACAAAAAACATATAACACAAAAAATTAAATAATCCAAATTCTCAGTAGAAAGGCCGGACACTTCGAGGGCCGTAAGGCAATTGTGGATGGTATTTTAAGATTCTTTAAGGCTGCCTAAAATTCGTGTACGATGGACTAAATTTTCAGTTGACTCTTCACCAGCGATCGTTTGTTTTCAAAACGCTTAGTTAGGTTTCGCCAGGCTGAGCGGAAAAGATTGTTGGTGTGTGGCGAATTGGATACTGTGGAATGAGCTTCACCACTAGTCTTGGCATTTGAATAGAACAACTTTTCAATAGGTGTAAGCGCATGATTGTGTGTCTAGACCGCTGTGAAAAGATCTCGGAAAGTCGGCCAGCGAAGATAATCGCCCGAGAAAAATTCCATTCCACGGAAGTTTGCCGACAGCCAGACGATAAGGAATTTTGGGGCGGAACGGGTTGGACTTGAGCTGATTTAGCAGAGATCGTATCGATCTATTCCATAAGCTGGGCGGCACACCTTTCGTAAATAAAGAATAGAGTATAGTCAAGGTGTCCCCGCGCCCTCAACATCAACTGAAATCAGCTCTGAACAAGCTTCATACTTATTCTCGACCTTATCCCATAGCGCTCGGACTTGGTCAAGATGAATTTTACACGTATACTGAGATGGAATGGGCTCTGCTGGATTGCAGAGTTTGGATTCGAAGTGACTCAGACGGTTAGAGGTCGAAATAAATTTATTTAAAACGAATGGAGCCATAATGATTTTTATGTGTTTTTGTATTTTCGAAATGGTTTGTAAGTTCGACACTTATTTATTTAGATTTAAAATTTAGGAACCAATCGGAATCGTAGTATAGCCATACAACAGCTAACATAGCTAAATATTTGACAAAAATTTTACAAATACTTGATTTTGTCTAAGGATAACAACGAACAATTCTTAAATAATTGTGTAAAAACCCGCCAAAACTAGCTGGACTAGATTTTAAATAGATAACGAGTGTGGCGATAATTATTTGCCGGTAATTTAAAATTATTCGGCAAAATTAAACATTTTTATTTTGGATTTAATTTCCTTAAAGTCGTAGGTGGCGGGTCCTGTCTCGTCGGCACTGTATCACCGTTCTTTGTCATTGAGGAATATAAGAGTGCAGGTGGATGAGCACGCTGTAGAGAAAAGAGACGAAATAAAATTGACGACTTCGCTAACTCTATGTCTGCTCTTTTGCAGACCTATGTATATATGTAAAGATTTGCCGACTGCAGATCAGCGCAGAATAGCACGAAGCTTACTAAATGTCTATTTGTGGGGATGTAAATATGTAAAAATTGTCGCTCAGCGCAGAATATATTTATATTTATATGCGTATGCTTGGAAGTAACTCAGCTCAGAATAGAGCTGTGTGGTCTTTCAAGAAATATTTATTTATATAGAAGCTGCCCTTCAGTACCATTCCTTTAGGATTCAGGTCTGAATCAGGTTGGAATGGACAGGACTCCATCCTGAATCATTAGGGAGCTTTCATACAAGCCATCCAGGAATTTCCACACAGTAGGCGTTAGTAAACCTGAATACGGACTACCCGATGAATTTTCAGGGAATCATAAAGAAATCCTGCTAAGAATTTGTCTTGAATTTCGGCCTGAATCAGAAGGGAATTTTGGAAGGGATTCTGAACAAAATCATACAGGAATTTGAGACGGAATCAGGCAGTAATCGTAGGGGAATTCAGAGTAGAATCAGGTAGGACTCTTAAAGGAGATTCCAAGCGGAATCACCAAGAAATCGTAGGGGAATTTAGAGTAGAACAAGATAGGAATCGCAGAGGAAAACGTGTAGATCCCCGGAACAATTATACAAGGTAGTCTCTAGAGGTGGAGAAAAATCGATGGTAACATCGATGTAATCGATGTTTTCAAAACATCGGTCAAATCGATGTTTGGCCAGCCAACATCGATTTTTTCCATCTCTACGTGCGCATCGAAGAAGAAAACGCGTAATTGTAAGTAAATCGGGATTAATTTATTATTTTATAAATTACTTATATTATGTTTCATATTAGTGTTCTGTTGGTGGTGTTGGCTGAAGTAGTGGAGTGGACGGTCATGGACAGACACCTGAAACGTAAGTAATTTTAATATAAAAGCTGTCGAAATTTGGACATAAATGCCTGAATATGTGTACCTCTGCTTGGATGCAACCGCATGATATGTACATATGTACATTTGTACGTTATACGTTTTATGTTTATATGAAAATATTACTTTTTAAGGAACATCAAATTCAGAGGAAAATGTGGAGGAGCCAGCTCAAAAAAAGAAGCGAGAAGCTTCCATCGCTTGGAATCATTTCAAGAAAACGGTTGAAAAAAACACATGCCATTTGTAATTACTGTGGAAAGGCCATAAAAACGATGGGAAACACCACAAACCTTCTTAACCATCTGAGCAACGTACATCCAGAACGGCTTAAAGACAGCAAAGGCAAAAATCATACAACCGCTTTAGATGTGTTTGTGGGAAAGTCCACTGTGCATTATATCAATGATTCGGCGAGGAAAATAAAGATTGATGAAATGGTGCTAAACATGATTGCTGTTTATGTTCAGCCTTTTAGTTGTGTCGAGGATGAGGGTTTCATTGCCCTCCTGAAAGAAATGGACCCTCGATACAAATTGCCAAGTAGGACATACTTGCGGGATGTTTCTTTGCCAATACAATATGAAAAATGTAAAGCAAAGCTGAGAGAAATACTGAACAGCGTTGATTATCTGGCATTAACCACAGACCTGTGGACATCTCGAGCCAACGAAGGCTACATAACTGTAACATGTCATTTTATATCCACCAATTTCAAATTGGAATCAGCCATTTTAGCAACACAGCATCTTCTAACGCCAACCAATCACACAGCTGCGAATATAGCAGATACCATTAAATCGGTGCTATCAGATTGGTCGATATCGCAAAAAGTGGTATGTATGGTTCCAGACAACGATGCATCGATGAAAAAAGCATGCGAGTCATTAAAATACAAACACTTACCGTGTGTGGCCCACACCATCAACCTGCTGGTCCAGGACATGTTGAAACAGCAAATTTTAGATGATATTCTAAGCAGGTGTAAGACAATAGTAGCTTTTTTCAAACGAAGTTCGACTGCGTATGCTAAATTTAAGGCAGCGCAAAAAACAGAAAATCCGTACGTCCTGATACAAGAAATGCCGACCCGCTGGAATAGCGCGTACGAGATGATTAAAAGAATAATTATAACAAACGAATACATAAGTTTGGTCTTGGCAGTATCCCACAATGCCCCACTACCGTTGTCTGCCGAGGATATTGATACATTAAAAGAATTATCCATGTTGTTAGCCCCGTTTGCGGATGCAATTCTGTCGGTTTCAACGAACACAAATGTATAAATTTCATTAATTATTCCCGTTGTTTGCGAACTTTTCCATAAAATTAATGGTTTGGAACTTAAAACAGTGGAAGGAATCGCTGCCTCGAATTATGTGAAGATTCGTTTACGAGAAAGGTTATTTCCATACGAAACAAGAACTATTCCACGCGTAGCCACTATCATTGATCCTCGATTTAAAAAACAGGGATTCCTTGGCGCATCGAACGCGGAGGAAGCGGCCAAGGCTCTACAGGAAGAGCTGAACTCCATTTGTATTACAATCCCACGACCGCAGCCGGCACCACCGACAGAGGAACCGACACGGTTCTCATTTCTTAAAACTAAAATTGAGGCAAGAGTGCAATTCTTTCGTGCTGATTCAGTCATTCTGTTACGGCAACATTTAGAAAAAGGGAACCAGCCGGAAAACTGCGATCCCCTTGCGTATTGGAAGGTAAGACCCTATATGCTAAGACATTTGTTTTTCAAATATTAAATTAAACATACTATCTTATTTCAGATCTCAACTGAAGAAGCTTTAAAAAAGATATCCAAGAAGTTCCTATGCATTCCAGCTTCGTCATGCGAGTCGGAATGTCTGTTTAGCAAGGCAGGCCAAGTTATTTCAGACCGTCGTACTCGCCTTTCCCCATCAGTCGTCGACAAGCTTTTGTTTCTCAACAAAAACAAAAACATAAATAAAATTGAAATTTCATAAAAAATAATTTTTTTATTTAAAACATCGATGTTTAATCAATTTTTTGCGCCAAAAACATCGAAAACATCGATGTCCGTGAACATCGATGTTTCTCCACCTCTAGTAGTCTCGTCGGCTGCCTAACCGTTCGGCTTTTTGTCAGTGCGTTCTCGTTTGTCAAAGGAAAAGGTTGTGTGCGGACGATTTTTTTTTTTACTATTAACCCTTGTGTGATTTCTATCGAAAGCACGTGCATGGAGTAAAATTGATAAAAGCACCAAAATGTTTAACAAAGAGGGAGGAGCCTTGGCTGCAAACTTGGCGAAAAGTCCAAGCTTTGCGAAACACATTTTTAAACTTCGAACTGAAAGTCGATATAAAAAAAATTTACTTTAAAATGAGCATATATTTTAAAATTAAGAATTTAAACAAAAAAATAGCTATACAAAAACAAAAGCAACGATTAATTTCAAATTCAAAACTATTAAAAATTAATTTATAAAACACTCCAACTCTTTTTACTATATATGAACAATTTAACCCCCATGGACCATCTAAGGGTTAAACTAAAAGCTCTTTTGTCGTTTCACTCGCACTTACTACGCAGACTCCTCTCACTCACACTAGTTGTGAGTAATGAATAGGGGAGTGCTTTTGCCGACGAGACTATCTTGTATAATTGTACCATGCGCTGTTCCGAATCCCTTCAAAAAAAAAACAATTGTTTGGCAGTACCCGAACACAGGTAGCCTACTTTGTTTCGGAGTTCTCTTACCGAAACCCATGAGATTTGTTTTTGTTTCTAAAACATGACACCAGGAATCGGACAGGAAAGGAATTTTGGTACTGAAGGGTCTGTGTTTACTCATACCTACAAACGCATTATATTTTTAGATCTTTACGCTCTCAACTTTGTGACAGCAGGGAGAGCGCCATTGTCGCTTGAATCAAAAAATTAGCCTCATATTGCAAAACGACTGTATGGTTGTGAGGCATCTTGTAAATTGTATAGTCTTTGGCAGAACTGTCCACGAACGAAAGAGTGAATCAACGGTAACGCCAACGCCATAGGAACCGAGCCACTACGAGGGAACAATATCGACTAAATATCAAGATCGGACCAACTGAATTCTGTGTATACTGTGAAGGAACGTGGTTTCCGTCTCAGGACAGTGGTTTGAACAAAATTTCCATATCTGTTAAATTTTGTAATTTGAATGTAGGACATTTCCAACAAATATAATTTTTCCAGCACATGTCGTAAGAGTGTTTTAAAAGGTCGGCTACCATCCCTTTGTCTCTCTAATGGGTTTGGAGCGCCTAATTTCTCCGCGAATTCCTTTTAAGCGAATGGCTATGAAAGACAATGTGGAATTAGAGGTGCAGTAGTAAATGTTCCAATTTCAGTACCTGATATTTTATATATAGCACTCTCCCGTTCCTTTGATTCGCCTAATGTCATACAGGTTCAAAAGAATGTTAGAACATTCACGACTGAAACTATTCGAGCCGCTCGAGTCGTTGAAGCTGCCCATTCCTTAGTTAATACTGAACTCAAGAAAAAGCACAAAATAGCTTTTAATGGTGGTCGGCTTACTCAAATGGGAGATCAGGAAAAAAACCCTTATATAGCAGATGAAGCTGAGCGAGAGGAAGTGGAACAGCTCTTACGCCAATTGACCAGTATAATATAAAAAGCCCAGGTGGCCATGAAACCCTTTTAGAAAATAATGGCACTGCACTTCAACGCATAGCTTTGACCCCTGCAGAAGGCAGCCTTCCAACCAATTTAACCCTTGACGAAGATGCAGAAGAACTGTCTTTCCGAACAATCTGTTGCGGTGCAATATATAAAGCCAAAACCACCTATAAAAAAAATCAAGGTCGCGGATTCGATAGTATCTAAGGTATTTTAAAACTACAAGTTCTATGATTTCATACGGCATTTGCCGTACGCAAAAATCAGGGCGGCACAATGGATAATTACTTTATTGACAATCTTGTACAGCATGACGAAAGGTCTTCGTTTTACACCAGCTCATTGGGAAGCTGAGAAAGAAACAAGTTATTGCAATGACCAGACATGTTGGGCTGCATTTTTTATGGAATGAACTTTTTCTATAAGATAATAGAAATATTACTGAAGATAAAGCGGCAGCTCTTTCTAGCGCTGAAAAAGCTCGATTAATTAGATCTGACTCAATAACATGCTTCTGATGTTTCAAATTTAGGTTTCGAAAATAAATAAACTTGTTCAAAATCTCAGACATGGCGAGTATACCACGGTCCATTATTATTGGAGGATCGAGACCCGGACCAACGAGGATCACCACGCTCTCATGGCAAGCTCTGGTTTTCTGGCATACCTAAGCTGGAAGGACCAGAAAATTCCGATTATGTTGTCCGTTTCTTTGATCGTTTTATTACTTACACCGGAGACGATCCTAAATTACAAGAAGTATTTCAATATCAGCGCCATAAGCACAGTTGTGTGTACTTGAGAAAGAGAAGAAATTTTAACGAATTTACAAGCCAGAGCATTAATTCCCCAACTTAAACACTATTTTTCGACCCATGATATGCCAAATAGTGTCTTTGACAACCTAATAGGTTTAGAAAACGCAATGGAAAAAATAAAAGAAAAAAACACCAAGCAATCAAAAATTACCAATTATTTTAAAGCTTGAATTTTTGTTTTTTATAATTTAATTATTATATTTTTGAGCAAATTTTACCTGATCGCTACGTGCAAGCCTTGTAGAATTTGCAGCTTGGAACTAATTTTCTAAGACAAACGCACAATTAGATCCAACGGAGATTATGATGAAGCGATCGACGTGGAATTGGATAATAAGAATCCCGTGGCTGTCCAAAGCTACCAACTGCTAGTTGTGACCGAAAGTGTCAAAAGGCATAAATATGTCTTAATTCTTAGGTGGTTTAGATTCAGCTTGAATCTTCCCCGTCGGACTACTTAAGAGAGAACGTAATGCTTCCCATGGATAAGTGAATAAACTGAACTTATTTCGATTAAAAATAAAAAGACATTCAGAAATATTTATTCAATAATAAAGCCCAAAAAAGAGCAATATGATGTGTTTGACGATATGGAACTAGAGGGAGTTCTTCAAGATTAAGAAAATTTTAACAGAGAAGACAAAAGGCCTCTTCCTTAAGAACCTGCCTCCTAATATAAGCATTTAGGGCCTTAGCAGTACCAAACGTCGAACAAAACGTAAATATACTCCAAGATGACAATGCTATAATAACACAGAAGATAGCGAACTTCAACTTACTAGACTTACCCCGTTAGTACTAATGGCAACCTATGCTCACTTTCCAGGACGCTTAACTGTAATGTAATCCAAAAAAAACATTTTATGAACATGTTGGGGGAAGGAGCTAGAGTTGGCAAAAGCAGACTGATTTCAACAATTTATTAGTCTATAACTTAGCGATTTAACAAGCTACCAGGAGCAACCGATTTTACAAAGGTCTTACTTGGTAATACTGGAAGACTTACGCTTCTTTCCGTTTTTTTCAGTTTCAGTGAATCAAACATCGATTCTCTTAAGACTCTTAAGCAATGACTCTTTAAAAACGATTCATTGTATGCTAATTGACCTCCAATTAGTTATTATGAACGAAATCTTGATATTCGGATCAAAACGTCAGATATTTGGATCAAAGAAACATAAAAATAATCTAAGAAATGCCCAAAATATGAAAATGCCCGAAACCCAGACTGCCATATATGCAAAACCTAAAAAAAAGACACAAATGATGGACTGCTAAACGGGGCAACAAATCGACAACTGCATAGTTAACAAGGCTACAGTAGTAACAAAACATTGCATTAAGTTTTCCGATCCTACAGTTGGTGCCATGGCCAGCTCAATAGAACGGAAAAATGATCACACAGATTGGACTGCAATTAAAAAAACAACTCAAATTTTTCAATGTGGAAGCTCGGCACATTTTTTGGCTAATCGAAAGCAATTTCCTGTTGTTCCTGCTGAGGCTATAACTATACATAAAAGCAAGGAGCGAGCTTCACTACGCAATACGAATTGTTGATCAATGTGGATCATGCCATTTCAATATATTACCACAATGTTGTGTCTCTTCGCGCTCATCGCGAAGATATTGCTAACGATAAAATTATTTCTTCTCTTAGCTTCTTATGTTTTGTTGAAACCTGGACTCTTCCCCAGGAAGCACGGTATGAAGAATGTAAAACAATGTTTTTAAGCAGTGAGAGAGAGCGAGAGGTAAATAGTTGAAAACAGCTGTTCGTCAGCGCCGTTTTCAAGGCCTGCATGGATACTAAAAATACTATAAATTTGGAAGGCGTTAAGAGATTCCTGACGGCACACTTTTAGTAATCTCGATGCTCCTGGAACAGATTATTAAACGAAAAACATTTCCCAGGTAGACATCGTAGACCATGTTGAATGCCATTGCCAGCTTCATACGTATCGAACCATCTGAGTTCCTTGTACAGGTATTCCAAAAGGCTATTATATTAAGACGTCTGGGAACTTTCCAAGGGTGGCTCGACTGCTGAATACAGGTCAATCGCTATGGGACAAAATTTTTTCTATTACAAGATTTCGAAATGTTGTAATATCTGCAGATCTTCAACGAGCGATGTTCTAGGATCAAATTTTAATGGATAAAACCATTTTTCAGTGAATGATTCTTTAATGGCCAAACAACTTACTCAAATTGATTTTTTTTCAGACTCCCGAATTCTAGAACCTCTTATAGCCATCATTATTGTATTTTCCTTAAATATAGCTGGTAAGAAGGTATATTTAAGCTATTTACTTAAGTTTATATTTTATTGTATATAGCGGATTGTAAATTTAAAGTTATAATTTAAATATATTTAAATAACTTTGTCAACGTTTGTAAATTACACTTATCGTTTAGGAATTTTTTTAGAGTATAAAACATTACCGCCATCCTAAAACTTTTCAAAAACCCAATTACCCCTCGTTTGCAACACTATGACAACATGGATTTATTAAACGAAGATCAACAACATCCAACCTCTCTTCCAATTTTATAAAATGCTCCCATAAGTTTCAAACATATGTAATATATACTGACTTCAGTAAAGCATTTGAATCTTTAAACCATTCTCTTCTTGTTAGGAACTCGATTTGATGGGATTTCCAGTTGATCTTCTTAGTTGGATCTCAAGTTATCTGAATGACAGGACGCAAAGGGTCCTTATCTTATATTCCCATGAGGGTCAGGGACGCCAGAACGACATTCTTCGTCAACCGGACGAAGAAGCTTAGCAAAGTGGGCAGGTAATTTCTGGCTAGTGAATAGGCTCACTGAAAGCGAATTCCTGCTGGCAGAGAAGAGGCCAAATTGGCTGACATGGCGACCGACCTATCCCCTCCTCCTGGTAAGACTAGGAAAATATAGCAAATACATTTGAAGCCGGCTGATTGCAGCTCATCTACGAGACTTTGCCTCTATTAGCTCTTAAGCGACACCACATGCTGCATCCAATAAAATAAGTGGTTGCATCCAGAAAAACAACATGATCACTGATCAGTGATGGATCTGTGATGGACCAGTAATCATTGATCTGGTTGTTCTGCTGAACGCAATCAATGCAAACTTATGAATATCGAAAACCATAACTAATGACTTATAAAAGATTGTGTATACACATGGAGGACAATTACACATGATAAGTGTCATTCTTAACGAAGCAATTTAATGGACCACCACGATTGTGGAATAAGGAGCTGGGTGAACTCAAGAACTCCTTCAAAACTAGTTATGCGTTCAAAAATACAGTATATGAAGCTAAGTGAGAACCCTGGAAAAGTTAGCGTGAATCAATAGAAGTCATTAATGATACGGGAAGACGGAGTAGATTTTTTGCTGAAGGGTATACAAGCCAATCCATAACAAAGAAACCTGACGGTACGTCAACCACGTCAGTTGAGGCATCCCTAAAAGTTCTAACAGACACGCACTTTCCAAGGAATATGCGAGAAAGCTCAGAGTCCGAGAAGTCCTGAAACGAGTAGACACTAAACTAATATACATACTGATATTTATATCGTAAGCCATTTATATAATAAACCCGACAGGGGGCGACATATAAGAACTATAGAATTATTAGCCTAACTTCATTCATTCTTAAAACGACGGACAGTCTAATGGTCATACACAGAAAGGACCTAGCGGAAAGGTCGATCAACTAAGACGGAACTATAAGGAGTGAGTCACGGAATCATTCAACTACGAGAAATACATAGAAGGTGCGTTCAAAAAGGTAAACGCATCCTGGGTTTCTCAATCGGCAAGCAGACTAACTATGATATAGGCAACAAGGAACATAAAATCCTACTGATGAATTACAAAACGCAGGGCGTAAAGAAGCTCTCGAAGAACCTACAGGTTTAATATAGATACGGCCCCAAAAAAGGCTGGACTCCGGAAGTTGTTATGGCAGCAGCCCAATATACAGAATCAGCTCAAATGTAACGACAGACCGTGGATTGCGGGGATAAAAGCGCTAGGACTAAAATATATTTACAGCTATGCTACAGGTGACCAATGCAGTGATCACTCAATGGTGCTATGCAATATATAAAGCTTGCTTAAGCAAGGGCTGTGTCCTTATTCAATAGAGGACCTTTCGGATAGTCTTCCTGCGGAAACCAGGAAAATGAGTCATGTGAGCCCAAGGATTACAGACCTATAAGTATAATTTTAACTAACCAGAATGCCTACACAAAAGGGAAATCTGTGGAGACGACACTACATTCTTTACTATCCACGATTAAGAAAGCCTTGCGCAATAAGGAGTATACTCTCGGAGTCACAGGTGAATGGGGCATTAAGTTTCCTTTTATAAGAAAACCAGTACAAAATTATTTTTATATATTTATATCTTTCGCCACGCCAAAGTTTATACCCTTGCAGATAAAACAGCGATCACCAGGAATTAATACAATATTAATTATATATATTGCAGATAAAACTGCGATCACTAGAAATTAATACAATATTTATTATATATGTATATTTATTTTAGAAAGCCTGCTTTCATTTCATTCACTTATACATATTATATTTACAGTTTTACATTCACATTTTGGAATTTTTCTCTATATCTAACGATCGTTTGTATGACAGCTTTATGATATAGTCGTCGGATTTTCATAAAATTAAAACCGAAATTCTAGCAAAATATTAAGGGGCTCTATCTCAAATTTAATGAAAATTTTTGAAAAATAAAAAAGGCTATTATTTTAAATTGTATTAATTTCTCGATCATTCCTATGGCAGCTATATGATATTGTAGTCCGATTTGTATAAAATTTTACACAAAATCGAAAAATAATGGCTTAAATTCAAATTTTATAAAATTCTGTTGAAAACTGAAAAAGTTATAATTTTTTTATATGGTCGGAGGTGACTCCTTCACTGCGTTGCAATCTTTTGACTGAAATAATAATACCCTGCAGGGATATAACAATTTAAAGGTACAAATAAGGCATTACTTTTGTTTATGTGTTGCGATGGCTTGTATGAAAGCTCCCTAATGATTCAGGATGGAGGCCTCTCCAAACCAACCTGACTCAGATCTGAATCCTTAAGGAATGGTACTGAAGGGATATTAACCGGGAAAGCTAAATAAATACAAACACCAAACATAATTTATAAAACTCAAAAATATCAACAAAAATGCGGATTTGAGGTGAGCAACAGTAAATAAAACTGCAAAATAAAAAGATTTCTTTAGAGCAAATTGTTATTTGCCAGGCCACTACGGTCATTCTTCATGACTATCGCATTTACAAGTAACTACTTACATACATATATCATACATACATATATTCATGAAGTTGGTGACCTTCAAAATTATTAGTTAACAATAAAATCTAAGGTCATTAGCAAAAAATATACCATTTGACAAACGGCTTGTTTGGTTTTTTTAATAACATGCTCGTGAAAAAGCCTCTTAACTTACTAACAAACACACTTTGAAAACAAAGTGTTATCGCGTTTCCACTAGTTATCTAATAGATTATTCACATTATACTGTCTTCTCAGTCCGTCCGTGTGAAACAGTTGGGATCTTGCACAGAAGGGAAACTCTGATTCCCACAGATCTACATTTTTATCTTCCATCCAACAACCGCTGAAACCTTCGTGGCTCATCCAAAATAAACAAAGCTTGTTCAAATGGTTGCTGCGAAATAAGCTAACAACTTTTTCAGGCTTGGCCCTTTATTAAAATGAATTTAATGTCGTGGAATTGGAAATTGTCGAATGGAATAGACCCACAAAATTCAAAATCAAGCAGAATTAGGAAATATATACAGTTTTAGCTAATCAAGATAATTTGGGGCTAGTATACTTTCTACCTTCATATCTCTGCGTTAACCCCAAAATAATTTTAAAAAAAATTTTTTAACACAAGCTTTTCAGTTATTTATTAACATTTTAGCCACCATTTTTTTAGAATACTCATTATGAAATTGTCTTCCAAGACGTTTTTTTTTTAGATCTATTAAACAATGTCTTATATATTTTTTTAATTGTCCTGTTGGAACCAATATTTATGTTCCAATCTATATTTTACAGCACTTTCTTGCAAATTGTCCGTCAAAATATGTATAAAGACACCTTGGTCCAATACAGGGTCGATAATTGTACATTTTCCTACGCCACTTTCTGCCATACATCCCCGCACCATATTGCAGCTTCTTCCATGCTTTACCGTGCCAACTAAATTTTCTTTATTGAATTCTTCTTCTGCTTTTCTCCACACCAAGACTTTGCCCTTGATTACCTTATTCCAGAAATCTAGGGGCATAGTAATATGCTCATTTGCAAGAGTTAGACGATTCGCCAAAACTGATTACCTTATTCCAGAAATCTAGGGGCTTAGTAATATGATCATTTGCAGAAGTTAGACGATTCGCCTATTGACTTCCAAGATTAGAGGCTTGTTACGAGCGACTCTATTTTGGTATCCAGCCTTTTAATGACACGGCGTACAGTATCGTCAGAAACAGTTTTCGAGAAATTCTCTGTCATGGACCAAAGTGTTTATATACAATTTTTTAACCCAGAGATATGCGGAATTAATTTTTATGTCTTCAATATTTGCCATCTTTTTTTACATTTTCGTAGCGAATGCTTAAATTCTCAACGACTAGAAGAATTATAGAGCAACCATCGCCAAAACAAATCCATAAAATTTGGATAAACAACGGATGACGAACAAAATTTCCTAAGAAATTTCGGAACGGCAAAACTTTATAGTACGGTATGGAATGGGTAAAACTACGTTTTAAAGCAGTGAGAGAGAGCAAGGGTCATATAGTTTAAAACGGCTGTTTGTCAGCGCCGTTTAAAAGGCCTTTATGGAGACACGAAATTAAAAAGAAAGTTCCATGGTGTTAGGGGCTTCCCGACGCCACACTTTTAGTATTAAAAATTAAAAGATTAAAAATTTTAATAAAACAAGCTGTTTCGACCATTTGCCTCTCGCTCACACTTGCAGCTCCTTTACATATTTTAAATTATGTATCCCGACATAAAAAAATGTTCGTAAATGATGAGTGTAGAAGCTTAGAAGAGCTGATACAGTTAATATAATTAAAACAGTAAAGGGTTTCTTGTGCACGTAATCCTGATTGCTCTCATACTAAGACGTCTTTGGGACAAATATTAATCCAAAACCAGCCAACAAATGTTGAACGTGTTGTAAAAGAGCCGGGTCAACAAAGTTTGACCTCCAAAAATTCTTAATAACTATTAAAAAGTGCCGTCACACTTCAAAAGAATCAACTTTTTCGCGCTGCAAAACACTTTAAAAATTTCCATACCGCACTAAAGAATGCAATTTTTAATAAAACAGGTTGTTCTCGACCATTGCCTTTCACTCGTACTGTCAGCTCGTTAACTTATTTTAAATTAAAAATCCCGCCATAAAAGTTGTATTGGAGGGGACCGGCTCTATTTGCTGATAAACTCGGATAATTAAAACACGACTATATTTCGAGGTATAACGCAACTTGCGTCGGATTGTAGGTATTTTGGATCTAAATAACATAGAACATAAACCTAGAGGAAGAGAGAGCGTTCGGGACATTTAGAAACAGGTAGAGAAATCACAGTGCCTCTTGAAAATAAGCGCTCTTTTCAAGAATATCAGGAAAGCGATGGCGACTGGCTTCCGTCGTTAGTGCGGCTAGCTCCATCGGAATGGTGGTAGGCCAGGCAGGTGACGCAGTATTTCTTTTCGATGACTGCCTGGAGCCGTTTCTCAGCGCTAAGTCTAAGAAAACGGAGGCACTTCCGTAGAAGATGGTTTCCTTGGCAGACTCGTCATGGGTAGGACAAAATACCTCGGGAACGTATGCTCTTGATGTCGCGGTATGGTACCTAGTAATTGAAGGCAGTAGGAGAATTAGTAACTTGCGAGGAGAACGAGGATATTTTTTGGATCGGTGGTGATACTATCTTTGAACCATCAAGAGGAATCGGAAACTGGGGGATTTGCTTGGATGCAGCAAAGTGTGATGCCGACCGTGGCATGTCGTACAGTTGTGTGCGCTTGTACAATCGTAGATTTTATGACCTTTTGCAAAGCAATTCTGACAGAAGGAAGCTGTTACATATACACAGCGGACGGTTCTATTTTGAAAACAAATCACATATTTTGGATATTGGAATTATCCTCGTTCTAAAGGATTTAAGTATTCGCGTTGACACGTTGGAAATTATCGGTTTGGATGGCTAGAGTCTGATTAAAACATATTATTATTAAAAATATAACTTTTAAACATGATTTTATTTAAAATAAATTTGTTGCCCCAACAATAACATTAAAAAAAAGATTATTTTTTAAATATATAATATTTTAATTTAGAGTATTTATATATGATATATATTTTATATATATAGTGACATATTCACAAATTCCGTTATGTTCCAAGAAATATGAATCTGCAGCGTAGGCGATCCCACGCTGAACCAATGTAAACAATCCACATCCGGAGCAGGCAATGCTGCTTCTCAATAACATATATAATTCTTCAATCAATATCCATCATTTGAATAAAGACGTGAAGCGGAATATTCGTTTATTAATTCAACTTAGCGATGTCCTTAGTCAACTGACGGGACATTAGTTCGACTCACAAAACAGAAACACTTCACTGGCGCAGTCGGTAGGATACAAAAAGTATCCGAAAAAAAGAACCCCGAGTGAAAAATAAATTACATTTTATAATTCAGTTCTCGAACAATAATTACGCAAAACGTTTTAAAACATTTTAACTTGGATTATAATTCCAATTCGGTTGTCCAACAAAAAGTGGAAGAACAAAACAAAACAAAAACACAATAAGTCCAACGGCACCTAAAAGATAATAACAGCAAAATTGGCCTACCCTTAGATCGAGACTAGTTGCAGAATTTAAACCCCAAACACCGAACTAGAAACTACTGGAGAACTTCAGGGAGACACCTTACAAGGGAAATCTGAGAGCATTCTGCGAAGAAGCAGAAAGATGACGTCAAGTACTAATTTCGAAATTGCATCTAGAAGGTAACCAGCCAGATTTTCTTATTTATATTCAGGCGATTAAAGATTCCATTAAAATATTGATCAGAAAATTACCAATACAATTATTCATTATTTTGGCTCATCATGACATTGAAGACTTAAGATCATTAATAACTATCGCACAAAATGAGCTAATATATGAAGAACATGTTAATTTGAATTAAATAAAATTCCAGAAAATCGTAATAAAAACTCAAACCCTAATCAGAATTCTAAACCACACAAATTCAATACAAATACACAAACCCAACATCGACCAAGTTACCCACAATATTATCAACCATTCCAACCTAATTTTAATCAATACACGCAATCATTTAGACCCTCCTATACAAAACAGATACCTTACAACCAAACTATGTGGCCAAATCATTTCGGACCCAACCAATACATGAACACACAACCATTTACTCACAAAAATCCTTTTCCACAATATTCCAATAAAATTCAAAATCCTCAAACAGCATATTTTAAGGAAATACATACCTCAACAACAACAACCCTCTACATCTAAAAATACTAACTTCCCGGTTACCAAACGACTAAGACCATCGGACAGTGAACAAACCAAAATGTCTATTGACGAATTGAGATTTCAAGACGCACACGAACACGAATACGAAGAAATACAACCTAATTATTATGAACAACAGTATTATGACCACAATCAATACCATAGGTTGATTAATGAACAACAACAGCAACAACAGGTCCAATACACCCAAAATAAAGATGAACAAAATCTATATAGCTCAGAACCAAATGGTTAACAGCCCCGGACAACACCAATACATACAAATAGCATACAAAGGTTGCACATACAATTGCCTTATAGACACAGGATCCACAATAAATATGATCAATAAAAATATATTTTGTCTTCCTATTCAAAATTTTATATGCGAAGTTTTGACATCAAATGGCCCTATTACATTGAACAATTTAATTATGTTACCCAGCAATAGTATTTTAAAACAACTGAACCATTTCATGTACACAATTTTTCTAATAATTATGATATACTAATTGGCAGAAATTGTTGAAAAATGCACAATCAATTATAAATTACAAAATAGCACAGTTACCCTTTTGATAAAACATATAAATTAATAACTTCAAATAAGAAAAGAACCAAAATGTTTATATCCAAAAGCCAATAGAACCAATTAAAAAATCACTCAGGAATCAACAAAAAAAATTGATTTTGGATTATTTCGATTAGATCACCTGAATCAGGAGGAACTTCAAGGTTGAAAGGTTTATTAAATATATTCAAAAATCTTCAATATGAAGAAGGAGACAATCTAACATTTACAAATACCATTAAACACGTACTAAATACAACACATAACTCCCCAATTTATTCAAAACAGTACCACTTGCTCAAGCG